AAGCTTCTCTCTTTCTGCAGGTGCATCTCCAATAGTTGAGACCAAACATCATACTTCTATTCGGTGAGGATGATTCATGCATTGAAAACACCTTCTGAGTGAATAATAACAAATATGTTTTCCCATGTTCCTATTGATGATCCAGATTTTTCTTTTGTCATCATTGGATATTTGGGAGAGACGATAGGATGTGAGAATTGTGGCTTGAAGAATATAGGGTTTTTGTTTTATTTTATTTATGGATTTACAGGTCTTAGAGCTTAAACCTCTCTGATACCATCTTAAAGCTTCAATTTTTCATATACTAAACCTCAAAGGAAATACAATATTTATAAGAGAATGATGTGAAATCAATCCTATAAGAAAGGAAACCAAATATTTGATATCTCTCTAATATATCATAATCTAAAGATACCTTTTATTTTAAAAACGTATCTTAACAGGATCAGCAGTTGCTCATGGTATCAACAACTACTGCCGTTGTTGCTACCGAAATTAAAGTTATTGGTTTGTTAATAATTGTCGGAATTCACTTAAAACTGTCTTTAACTGTCATTCGTGATATTTACCCATTTTGGATGTACCTACGGGCTACCGATATGCCAACATATTTATAGTTCTAGGTTCTTGAATATCAAGTAGTCCTTTTCCACTAATTTAGACTTCCTGTTTTTTTTTCCCAATCTTGAAGTTCCAATCCTCGATTGGATTCTACTAGAGTGGATTTTGTAATACCGAAGCAGATGCATTGTTCAAATATTGTTGCACGAGTTAACATGAATCATATTGGATCCCAGTTCTTAATTAACAGATATATCCACAAACAAATTTTTTTTCCAACAAAGTAGGTAACTGGGTGAAGGTTTATTCACCTGAGTGAGGTTTTTAACAGCAGTGAAGGTTTCCAGGCGAGAGGGTTTCTTCAAAAGGAGTTTGAGAGATGGAGAAGTTGAAAAACAAATAAAAGATGGGGTAAAAATTAACCAAAAGCCCATCACATGCGCTACGTGTGATGACACTTAACCTTAAAACTAACATCAATTGTAGGTTTTAACGAATTTTGGACTGATTAGTACCAACAAAAAACTAAAACAAAGTTACAAAATTTAATTATTTTGGACACTATTTTATAATAAAAGCAATAAAGTACCTAAATGGTGGGGAGATTATGATTGTAAATTTGTTGTGATTCTTGGAAAGCTCCACTTGACACCGTACACCATCAGTCCGGCTAATTTCATATCATTCATTTGTCACAACTTCATAAATCCATTCATTTACTTATTATTTAATTCAATAATAAACATGCCTACCCAAATGCATATCGCCAAAAAATTTAAGTGCTTGTTTTATTAATTTAATATTTGTTGATAAATTTGAAAAAAATATTTAATCGATTAACTGATGAGATATTATGATTTAAACAAAGCAAATGTTACTTTAGTAGAAGATAAGTTACAAAAAAACGACACCATTAGTTCATTATACGTCAAATATTTTTAATGGAACAATCACAAACATGACCATGATATATGATATTTGATAAACTTGATGATATTTTTTTTTTTTATTAATAATACATATTAGCATATATATATATATATATATATATATATATATATATATATATATATATATATATATATATATATATATATATAAAGAGAGAGAGAGAGAGTTAGGTTCAAATGTTTTCACTATCTATTGTGTGCATTTACGATTGATTATGGAACGATCATTTTAGTTATTTTAAGAAAAGTAATTAATGCATATTAAATGCTGAAGATCTAATTAATATCCATTATATCTTCAATATGTAATATGCATTAATTATTTTCTTAAAATAACTAAAATGATTGGTCAAGAATCAATCATACATGTACACAATAGATAGTGAAAACAAAATAACCTAACTCTCTCTCTCTCTCTCTCTCTCTCTCTATATATATATATATATATATATATATATATATATATATATATATATATATATATATATAAAAGTAGCACCATCAATAAGAACATGAATTATAAGACAACACAAATTATTGATACAAACAAAAAAGTGTCAAAGATGAGGATTTTTTTTTGAAAAAAATGTAAAAGAAATTGTTAAGTGTGATGATTTTTTTGTTAAAATGTATTATCTCCGTCCCATTTTTATTGTCTCTTTTTGATTTTTGAAATTTTATTCTTCAACTTTCACCTTAAATATTTTGTTTTTTTTATATATAATACTTGATTTAAAATATATGAATGAGTTTTTTTTTAATAATTTTTTATTGTTATAAGTTTTATCAAGTAATTTATAATACAAATAAAAATATTTAAGCTCAAAGTTAAAGAATAAAGACCTTAAAAGTTAAAGGTAGACAATAAATATAAAACATAAAAGGTATTTTTTTTAAATTACTTGAAGATTATCGGTAAACCTTCTACAAATGCTAAAAATGACTGAGCTAAAAATAAGAAAAAAAATGATGATTGTTTTTAAATAAAATAAGTTTTAGGTTTAAGTAGAAAAATCAAAATATAATATTTATTATAATATAATCCTTTGTCATAGGAGTGAACATGATATAATATTGATTTTTTTCAAACCGTATATCGTATCAATTATAATTAATACAAATTATAACTTTGCTATCATTCCTGTACCAAGTATACTTGATACCAATATGTTTGGATATCAAAAAGTTTAATTGATACCAATTGATAATGATATATATTCAAATTTCTATTAGCTTTCCATATTTGTATATGACTAGTGTGGCAAGTCTTCAACTAATACTCGTAACCAGGACAAGGAATGTCATGCATGATCGGTCCTTAGAGATTACAACATCCGGAAAGCCCAAAGAAAAACATTTACCTCGTAAAGTAGTAAAACATGAAAATTGTGACATTTAACAATACAAATCATTACATTGATATACCGTTCACATAATTATATAAGCATAACTTGAAAAACCCTCATGAAATCTCCCTTAATCGCCATTTCACAATTAGCAAATTGAAAATCTTTCCGATTACAAAATCCTATCAAATAGGAAATTGATGCTTTTATGTGTAGATACATCTCTATGGTGATCAAACATGAGAATAAAAACATTACTTTAATCAAATACACAAAACAACAATTCATATGAAAATTGTGACCACTCCTTAAACTGCAAAATGTAAATACAAGTAAAATATTTTGTTTAATAGTAATATTTACCAAAAAGCTTTTGGTCTAGCAATATTAGATGTGTTGGAAATGTATCATTTCACAAATGGTTGAGGATGGTTGAGATTTAAGTCTTATGATGGATAAAAGATTAGATTTAGGAGTAGTGTTAGATAAGTGTGCGTTAGTTGTTATAAAAAAATATAATATTTCCAAACAAAAAATTATTCATGTCTAAAATAATTCGATGTTGAATTTGCGTCAAAAGGCTTTGAATTACCAAATGTGTAACCATACTGCAAAATGTAATAAGAAACCTAAAAAATAAAAATGAAGCATATATAAATAAGCCATTTTGCAATTTTCAACTGATCAATTGTAATTAGTAATCAATTTGTGCTAATAGACAAAAATAATTATTTGTTAATTACACTTCATATGCAGTCATTTTATAATTATCTATTATTACAATATAGCCATTTTTATTATATTGATGATCACTTGAGAATTAAATCACTTTTTAAGAATTGCTCAAAGTTTGAATTTTCATATGTTTCATTGTTAGGATGACTTAAAGTTCAAAAACTAATGTATAATTATTAACTAAAAACCACTAAATGATATCTATTAATCAATAACCAGTTATCATTCTAATTTGGGTAAATAATGCAAGTGGGCAACTGTGATCATCTTACTCTGTATATCGATACAATCATTATTTAAATGATATAATATAAAACTGTACATAGTAATTACTCAAACACTACATTAAAATGCATTTCGAGTTTAAAAATTATCGCAAGTGTATATATTAAAACATTACTTGGATGTCTGTTGACAATTTTATATAGTTTTTGTTATAGTTTTCAAATCATGTGCTTCTTCTTATATAAGAAAACCAATTCTATCACATACAAAGGAATAATCAAGATGTCAATACACCAACTCTTGTAAAACTTTGTTAATATGAATCTTCTTCCCTACGTTGTCATTAGTTAAAAGTCTATGTATTTCAGTCAAAACTAAATTTGAAATTTGCAATTAATGATATGAAAAGAAGGGAAGTAAACAACAAAAAGTGATGGGGGAAAGGAGAAAAGTGTCAATTTGGACATGATATAATAACAAACACTGTGGACTGCAATGTAAATGTACCTTCAAAAATCCTGTTCTACACACGGAGAAAATCTTTAATGATGCCATACATGCAAATTTACCAAGGACCATTTCCATTATATATATATATATATATATATATATATATATATATATATATATATATATATATATATATATATATATATATATATATATATATATATATATATATATTTGGAACTGTGTTATGCACCAATGTGATGGTTTCAACTCGCTAGGTTAAACGTAAATTATACTATTATTATTGCATATTTTATATAAAAATGATTTTGTTACGTGAATTAAGAAAGAAATAAAATGTTATGGAACAAATACACATTTAATGTAAAATACAATTAACTAATACATTTAGAGTACAATTTGAAGAAAATTCAGTAGTTTTTGTTTGCCGGTCACTCTCTTTCTACAGCTTGTTTTACTTTTCATATCTTCCCAATTGTCTTCCTCCTAAAATAAACAAATCTCTGGATTCTTTAATTAATAAAAATAAATTAAAAAAAAAAAAAAAACCCTATAAAACCCCTCCATATTCTTCCATTTCTTCTTCTGTAAATTAAACCATCATATATCCCACCTTCTCCCCACTCACACAATCATAATGTGTACCATGGAGCAGATGATGATCAACAAGAAACACACACACACATGTTCCCCAACCACAAAACCCCTCACCATGCACAAACACTCTCACATCATCTCCAAAATCAAACCCAAGATTCGCATAATTCACATATTCGCACCAGAGATCATCAAAACAGATGTCGCAAACTTCAGGGAATTGGTCCAAAGGCTCACCGGAAAACCAACGGAGAAGAAGAAACCGAAGACAAGAAAACAACCCCATAAAAGATCGAATCTTTTGCAGGGTGGAATGGAGGTGATCAGGGAGAAGATCAAAGGGGAGGAAGATATATGGGTTGGAGCGAATTCTGGTGGAGGATTCTTGGGTGGATTTGGTGATCTTGATGGATTCATGCAAGAGTTTAACAATCATAATCATGGCTTCGCATCAGTTCAACAAAATCTTGATACACCAGCTGCTACTTTGGTTAATTCTCATCTGGATTATGGTTTTGGGGAAAGATCATTCAATCTGCCTACCTATAGCTAATTTTTTTTTTCAATTTTCTTTTGGCTTTTAGGTTTATTAATTATATCTAGTCTTGATTCATGGCTAATTGATTTGATTAATTAATTATTTGTTCATGGTGTTCTTGGTAATTACTTGACTGAATATCACTCTTTCCCATTTGGTTTGTAACAAGACTCGTTGAGGTCTTTGTGGATTTATGGATGGATATAAGCTAACTGAGTAAATCTGTAAAAAGAAAAAAAAAAAAAAGAAAAAAAAAAAGAAAAAAGAAATTCAAGAACTGTTTTGATAGGAGTTGTAGTGTCATTATCAAGCTCCATTTGGAGGTCTTACAAGTAATGCAATATTTTTATCCTTTTACGGATAAGAGTTTGGGAAGCACGTCTGAAAATAATAATTTCTAATTAGTCAATGTTTTTTCAGTTTACGATTATTCTGAAAAAATAAATTTTTAATTGTGCCGGATTCCAGACACAGACACTCATCAGTCGTGTGTTTAGCCTTATATATACCTAAATTGATATCTTTTTATGCTCTACAAATAGATTATTAACGCTAAACGACGAGGTTTTTAGCAGTTTATTCATTGATGATACTTTTTTTATTTTTAAGGCTTCATTCTTTTTTTGAAAAAGAGTAATTTTATAGAAAGTTATAACTTTTTATGTTCTATAAATATATAGATATAAAAGTAAGAAAGTTTGTGGCGTGTGTTTGTTGATGAATATGTTGTATTCAATTATGAAAAGTGTTGTTTTTTAAGGCTTATTAAAAAACCCAAAAATTTACAATTATACATATAAATCTATAACTATAGATTTTTTTTTTTAATGTTCTGCTTCAATGTTTATTCATAAATGAACGGTGTTGATTTTATCTTTTTAAGAATTTAATTATTTTGAAAAAAATTATAACAAAACCTCTTGAGAACCAACAAATTTAGATGAGACAAATGGCCAAAATTAATCTCAAAACTTGAGCAAATAATACATATGCGTCGTTTTTGAGCCCATTTGTCGTTTTTCTAATGATTTCCAACAACACCATATGTCGTTTTTTGGGCTTCTCTAATGGTGAACCACTATTGCAACATGCCACGTCGTCGTTTTTGAGCCCATTTGCATCTCCTCTCTTGTCAAGTAAGTAAACTTTTGTAATCACTTCATTCTATTATTCTTACCAAACAAGGAAGGAAACAGAAAAATCTCTTCTCAATTCTTCGTTGAATTGGCTTCAAAAAGGAAAATTATATTGACAAGGGTTTTTATGGCGCTTATGCTATAAGCAAACCTTCCTTGCACTCACATCAAATTATATAAATATCATCTAATATTACATGCATTCTCAAGTTTATGACCATTATGCTATTTATATTACATGCATTCTCGAGTTAATGACCATTATGCTACTTATGGTTGTGAATAAATCATCACTAATAACTAAAGGTTTTTTCACCACTTGTCAAATTTTCAAAATTTTACCACATGTAATTTTATAGGAGCTTTAGAATTATCATTTTCCACTTGTCATTTTTTGAGAATTTCTATTTTTTTAAAATAAAATTCCACAAAATTCTAAAGAGTTTTATAAGAACAGACAATCATTTTTATTAATTTGATAATAAAATCTCATAAATACTCTAAACAATATTTGATTCTTTAATAAATGTTCCAAAATATTACATTATATTATTTAAAAGTGTTATTTTATAAAATTTATAATGTTTAAATATTGATACTAAATTTTTACTTTTAATAAACTCGTGTAACATACGGGTGTCACACCTAGTGTAATATAATATGAGGTTTGACGGGTATGCGAATGCATATCACCTTACACACAAATATACCACCGATGATTCTTACAAAATTATTTTAAGACAATCGAATTAATTCCATTTATAACTTTTCAAGATTTAAGAAAAATTAAAGAGTTTAGCAAAGCAATCATCAATTTCGCAAATGAAATGTGTAAAATTGCCACAATATTTGCGAAATTAACTAAAATGATATCATTATGAAAAAAAAAATTAAAAATTTTAGATTACATCTGCTTAAAAAAAACATTTTTTTAACATTCAAAAATCAAAACCACAACAAAAAGGCTTGTATTTTTAACCCGCGGAAAAAAAATTCACCATGTTTAAGAGGATTTTTCAGATCGCATATACGGATTTCATAGATGACACTATAAAATCTTGAAAACCATCTGAAAAATCGTGAGAAATTCTCTTGTAAAAGTTTCTCATGGTAGGAAACTAGGAATCATAAAATAACATTTTCATAGCAAAATAAAGTTTGATGGTATAGTTTTGATTTATAAAAATGAAAAAAAATGGATTTCTCACAATTTTCAAAATGATTTCTCACATGGATATGAAGATTTTATAGATGATATCTGCAAAATTCTCTGAGCCATTTAAAAAATCTTTAAAATATGTTGATATATATATATATATATATATATATATATATATATATATATATATATATATATATATATATATATATATATATATATATATATATATATATTGGAAATTGTTTTATGAAGTTTTCAAATACTAGAAAAAAAAGTTTAACTTTTTTGGGGTTAATATTATAAAAGATTTTATATATTGAGAGGTTTTTTTTTTTTTTTTTTAGATTAATCCATAGCTTTATTATTTTTCCTGAAAAGACCTTCTATTTTTTTTTTTTCATTTTTTTCAAAAAAAAAAAAAAAAAAACCATCTGACTTTTTATTTTTTCAAAAAAAAAAAAAAAACCAAACCCCCACATTTGACAAGTTTTTTTTAGAAAAAATTGCTAAAACACCAAATAAAAAATGAAAAAAATGCAAAATGTTTCTCGAGAAAAAATAAATTTGGGGTTAATTGTGAAAAATTACAATATACAAGCACTTTGATGATATTATCCTTTTTTTGAATTTTCACAAGTAAACCTGCTAAAACACCAAATAAAAAATGAAAAAAATGCAAAATGTTTCTCGAGAAAAAATAAATTTGGGGTTAATTGTGAAAAATTACAATATATAAGCACTTTGATGATATTATCCTTTTTTGAATTTTCACAAGTAAACGTGCATTTTTGTTGATGGCATTAATAATTTTTTATTAGGATTTTCTTTTTCAAAACGACCTTACTTCGGTAAATTTCGCAGATATTTTGTCAGTCAGTGTGGATGAAATTAAAGAAACGAAAACCAAACATGAAACCTGACCAAACCTAGTTTTAAATTTAGTTTTCGTTTTGGTTTTAAGCCAAACCGAATTATGAATTTAGTTTATGGTTTAAGTTATGGTCTAGTGGAATTCAGACCAAAACAAACCGATTAATGAATTTAATTAATTCTTTTTATATGGTAAATATTATATTTCTTTATATTATAAAATTAAATAGAAAAAATAAAAACATGTTTTGATATTTTATATTTCTCAGATAGATCGATTTCTGTTATGATTCATTTGATACTTTATATTTGATATGAAACTTTAGAATTTATGTTTGGAAAATTTAAGTTTTAAATTCTATTTTTAACCTTAAAATTTGGTTTATTTGGTTTTGGGTTTCAAATTGGTCGGTGCAACTTCCAGTTCTAGGATGTATCTTATTTTTGGATCCTGGATCGTAATTCGACCATGTAAAGACCTTGGGCTTTAAGAGAATAAAGTGTAGACCCTTTTGGATGATGATGATGTTTGATAAGTGATTTAAAACCTTGAATTGTACTTTAGAGCTGAAGGAGTAAAATGGGAAAAGTAATATTTCAGACTTCTTGTATGGACTATGGTTTTAGTTTGACATATGTTAAGCCAAAAGTAACTAGATAGAATTATGGGGATCGTCAATACATTTACATGCATATAAAGAACGCCGAAAACGAAGTTGAAACAAAGACATTATGGTTGTTTGAAGTTGAATTGGAAATTGGAATTTGGTCCTATGTTGAGCATAGGAAAGCCCCTACGTTGAGCCTTGGTGCTGAATTCTAAACGCGAGTTTAATGACCTACGTTAAGCGTAGGTTATGCTACACTGGGGTAGCCGCTGCAGATCAAAACCCCAACCTTAAGGTTTTGAGCCATATTTAAGGGCTCTAACTTTCTTGGGATTATTCCCATAACCAGCCTCCATCACCTCATATTGTTCCTTTGAAACCCTAGCCATTAATTGTGAGTTTTGGAGCTTTTAGAGAGTTTTATGTCATATTTGAAGGAAGAAAGTGTTTGTAGAACCAAGTAGGAAGCTTCAAGGTGTGTAGATCTGGGATTTGCAGGCCAACATTTATCTTTGGAAGGTATAAAGCTTTCATCTTGTTTCTTGTACATGTTAGATATAGTATGGTTGTGAGTTTTATGCTTTTACCCCATAATATTGGTCCTTATAAGTATAGGTTACTCTGTACCATTTGATTGCCTCCTGATGTTTTAAGGTTACAGAGTCATAAAAATGAGATCTTGGGCACTATCATCCATCCATGCACGAGTTCTTGAGCAAAAGGTGCCAATATGGACTTAGAGTTTGGTTTTATTCTCTTCTTGGCCATAAAAATGGATAAAGTCAGAGACTTTATCCATTAGGACATTTATTTAGATCTGATCTACAAATTTAAGGATTTGACTTGATGTATTGAGAGCTTAAAAGAAGTTTTTGGGAAACATGGGCTCTGCGTTGAGTGTATCCTTCTGTATGCGAAGTGTAGCTCTACGTTGAACATAGTTTAGTCTGGTACGCTAAGCATAAGTAAACTAAGGGTTGACCGTTGAATTTTTTACCGGTTTCCATTTTGGTTAACCATGTTGGTACTTAGTGTAGGAAGGGAAAAATCATATTTTTCCTAAAAGAGGTTTAATTGTGGCCTAGACCTTTTGAGAGTTGGTTATTATCTTAATTGTTAATTAGGGTTTTTTTATATGTTAACAAGATGAGACTTGTTGTCGTCGGGTCGAGTGTGTGTTTTATCTTGTCATTCGGATTGATGTGAGTCTTCTCACTATACTACATAGAATCCTAGTTG